CTGGCTGGGGCTAAACCACGACAAGTACCCAATCAGAACTTTCAGATCTCTTATTTAAGCAGTATGTCTGCGTATATGGAATTTCTTGGATCGTTCTCAGTTGTCGATCGCACGGGAACCCGTTCGTCGCCATTTCCCCTGGGCTGCAGCCAACATTCCCATGCGCAATCGATTCGAGGAATCAGGGATTTTCTCTTTTCTTCATTACCACCAGCAAGAGAAAAAACAGCCTTCCCCTCGCGCTCCCCCAGAAGGTGTCTCTGAGCCTGTTTGTTAGCGGATCCCGGCAGCACGGACATGGTCAAACGCTGTACCCCCTTCCAGCCCCACTGGAAACATCCCTCCTTCCACGGGGAGGATGCACGGGGCGTTCGCAGCCCTGAAAGGAGGGAGGCAGAAAACCAAGCGAGCACGCAAGAGTCTGAAACAGGATTTACCTGGTTTATACTGGTACACCGGCCCTTCGCTGGAGCTCTCTGTGAAGCCTGAGTTTGCATCAGTTCCTTCTCCCTCCGAAATGCTCTCGGCACCGTTCCGGACAGGTTCTGCTTCCTGCTCTCCGTTTTCTTCCACAGGTTTCGCTTTTTTAAGCTCAGAGGGGTCTCTCTCCAGTTGAAACCCATGGCTCATGTTCTCCTGGTCAGATTCAAGTACTTTGTCACCTGAAAGTTCCTCTTCTACTTTAGGCTGATGGAAACACAGAGGTTACGTGAAAAACACCCTGCCAAAATTCAGAGCACGTGAAACAGCTCTTCGTTTATTCACACGGCATTTTGCACCTAACAGGAATACATACGCATCTTAAACAGCGATACGGAGATCTGGAACCACACACGGACAAGCGGATGATTTATTGGTTCGTTCCCGGAGATAACCACCGATAATTAACAGCACAACTGGAAAGACTTAGCGCTGCCCATGAAATCCCCAGCAGCTACTGGGATGGGATGGAAGGAACGGTTAAGTCCTGTCGCACGACAGCCAGGAGCAATCCCAGCCTAGAAAGACAACCTCGCTCTTCCCCTTTCCGGCAGCTCACCGGCTACTTCAAAGGGCACACCACGCTTGTTTTGGGGGGGATCCTGCCTTAAGCGTGTGCTTCCTGCTGCTAATCGGAGCAGATCCCAATAAAGAAGGTAATGGGACATACAGCCACAATTTCAGCACCTTGGTTTCAGGAAAAAGCATTAACAGTATCCCTGGCTGTTAATTTTAGAGCTCTCCAAGGACACAGCCTTATTCCGCATTCGGACAGAGGAGGTGGTAGGAACGCGCTTCTCCTGGGAGAAACCCCAACACGCCTAAAAGCATTACACAAAGGAAAGACTTAAATGGGGATGCTCCGGAAGAGGCTCTCCATCCTTTTGCCTCCCTACCCGAGGGCACCGCATCCCAAATGCTTTTTGCAAATTTTTCAAGGGAATACTCTGAAAAATCAGCATTGGTGAAAGAGCCGAGTGGTCCAGGAGACAAGACTCCTCCAACAAATGACAAAGAAAGCGTTACAGAGGGTATGGACTCGCTGGTGCAGCCCAGCAACATCCTTTGCTCTCCGCCTTGAAAACAAGCACAGGGATGCTTTTAATTTCCCTAATTTCCTAAAATTTAATTTTAATACCCAATCATCGCGCTCTGTTGCGCGCAGACCAGCTGTTGCAGCGCGGTACCTTGCACATAAGCATCTTAAGCACCTATTCCCTCAGAAAAAGAGGGGAAAGCACTTACATACCACTCATAACGTCTAAGTGCTGCAAATGTTTGCTTATACAAAGGACGAAGCACCGTCCTCTAAGACTCAAGATTTACTGTGCAACGTGTTTTTAGAATGGAAAGGTTCATTGACGTTTGTGGCAAGGGGAAGTTGAACTAAAGAAAAATTTGGAGTGAAGGAGCAACGCTTCTCTGTGTCACATCTGGCCGACATCAGGTTTTGTATATGCAGAGGGCAGTCTGAATTTTTACATTTGGACTCTTTTACCCGCTCTGTGCTCTACTCTAACCCCAATTTTACCCAGGATAGTTCCTCCCCAATATCCTTACCGGAACGGCAGCAAGGGAGATTTTTGTTACTCATCTAACTACCGCCGAGGTGGTTTTGCCTGGAAACAGCAATGTTTTCCCTTCCCAGCTTCTCCATCAGGTGGTCGTCAGGAAAACTAACCTTTAGCCATGACATCACAATGACATCACTGTGCCGCAGAAGAACCTGCCAAATGTCACCATAGCGGCCTGCGACCCGAACAGGGCAGCGCTAAGGGATTCAAACCCACTTTTATCTCATCCTTCACTGGAAGGACAGCAGTTACATGTTCTTGAAGGTTGGGAGTCGTTAAATTAGGCAAGAAGGAAGAAAACTTGACAGGGAACAGACTAAAATGCTGCGGAATATCACAGTTCCCCTCCCCAAAAAATGTCAGCCCTGGATCTTTGCGAGACAACTAGGAAGCAACGGCTCTAAAATACAGTTTAAAGAGAGCAACATCATCATGAAATTTGTCTAAAGCGAGACTGTGGTGGTTCTTACCTCTGTTTCCGCCTCTATGACCTCCTCAGGGGCTTGGGTCCGGTCTTTTGGTTTCTTCCACGTCTTTGGTGCAGTTACGGCTGTTTGGGCTGCAATATAAGCGTACATCTATTAAAACACTAAATTATACGCAGCAAACTTGGCCGCGGGTGATGCGCTTCCCTCTCGCGCGCTGGTTTTACATACAGGAAAACGAAGCAGTCGCAGCCTTGCGGAGGATTCAGCTTGACATAACTACTTTTTCTTTCAATGCGGTAATAACAAAATCGTTAGTGTGACATTAAAACACTGTAATTGTTTTACAAGTCGCTCATTCAAGCTCGAAACGCCACTTGTGATAGCAAGGAGTCTATTACCACCACTGTAAGAATCATGCAGGGAAAAAGAAAACCTTCAGAAACTGAATTTTTTGAAACATCAAGTATTGGCTAGGAGTGAAGGTCGTTGTCAACATATTTTTCCTCAAGAAATATTGTCAGAATTAACCATCATCTGGACCGTAACCATAAACAGGCCAAAAATTCCATTATCTCATCCAAAAGGACAACTCCTTCAATCTTGCAGCACTACTGGCTCTCCCAAGCTGGATTTATATTTCAACTTAAAAGCAGGTTAACAACTCCACCATTCATTAATTCCCCTGGCCAACCAATTCAATGAAAACACCACATAATATTTCTAAAATCAGCAGTGATTTACTCTAATCACTCTCCCCCCTCCAAAGGGTAAAAGAAACCACACAATATATTAAGAGGAGACAAACCCATTAATCCAATACGCTCGTAATTTGTTGCAAGTGCTACCAGCTTAAATTCTGATACTAGGCACAGATGCGTATTTAACACAGAGCGCAAACAGAATTGATTCCGTGATGGAAGTTTACTGCAAACAGATTTCCAGCTCGAGCCTTTGGTTTCTAGTTTTTTTTCCACACTGTGGAAAAACACAGCGGGTCCTTATTTTATCACAATAAAATACGATTTTGAAACGCTCTTCAACTACGGATAAATGAAAAGAGTGTTGATAACGGCCTACTTTGTTCCCATGGGCAAAGAGGAAAGTGGACTTGCCGCGTTCCCGCTGCCCCAAAAGATACGTAGGAGCCTCGGCAGCTTCTTAACAGCGTTCCCCTGTTTGGAGGGCGACTATGGACTTGCAGAAACACTGCGGGCTGTGGAAATCACGACAGTCAGTACGCTGGCCCCAACCCACAGCGCAACAGGAGCTACCGTCGCTGATAAAATATATTTATCTTCATGCTAAACACCACAAAAGCAAAGGTTAATAAAAACAATTAAAAAAGTCTAATTCAAAGATTCAAATGTCGTCCGCTTGATGACAGAACTGTTGGCTCATGGAGGAGCTGGAAGAATCATCCGGGTCTCCCAAACTCCGAGTCCTGCACGCCACATCCATCGCAGCACCCTACGGAGAAACTCGAAGCTTTACAAGCAGGTCAGAGCCTCAGCAGTAATCCTGAATTTTCTGGGGCTCGAAGGAGAGTAGAGAAACGGCCAAGGAGGCACGATTGCAAAATGGCTTTGCCTTACGCAACCGGGGATTAGCTTTTACTGCTGCCAGCAGAAGTTCACGGTACCCTCGCAAGAACAGCCGAGTTATTCTCACCGTCTGGGGGTGAAATCGGGGCTGGGTAAGGACCAGGTGTCCAGGCAGGTGGTAACTTCTGTGACTTAGCAAAGCGGGGACCTAAGTGAGGCTCCACAGTTCCCTCTACCACGAAATCTGCTAAAATTCAGTGAAAATTTAGCGCTTTTCAAAAGCCAGCCTGCTGTTTTAAGGCTGGACATCAAGCCCCGCTGCCACGATACGATGCTTTCTTGTTTGCTGATGCCACTTCCACACTTTTGGGGGATTTCTTCAAGGAAGGGGTCACATCCACACAGTAATGACCTAAATTCTTCCATAGCCAAGCAATTTAATTGATTAATCCCAAAGTTTTTAATCTGATAGAATTTCACTCAAGCTTAAACTACGCTATAGAAAACATCCACGGTGTAAAATAATGTTTCATTTTTAAACAGAAATAAACTCGAGGTCATGGATTTGGGGTTGGCAAAGGTTTGGGTGTTTCCTTCCTCAACTGTCAGGATGTTAACATTATCGCTCCTCAAGAATACATTTTTTCCACTTTTTTTGGCAAAAGAAAGCTATATAAAGGATGCTGTCCTGCCAAGCCTCCTGACTGAGTCTCACAGCTTTTGCCTTGTTTTAATCATGCAGAATCCTTTTGGTACTTTGGGGCTTCCCTGCATGAGGATGCTTGGCCGGACGCTTGCCTTCAATCCCAAGAGATGGCAGCAGCCTTCGCTTAGCTCTGTGGTTTTGCAGCCTGTAACTCCTTACTAACACCCGACCGTATTTCAGAGCCGACCGGTGAGACCTTCAGAGACGTTGCTAAATTTTTCCCCTCTTAAAATAGCAGACATCAGATTTTTCTTCTTTTTTTTTTTTTTTTCCTCCCCGTTGGAGTTCTCATTTCTGCTACAGGAACTGACTCAACAGGAGAATTTATGCTAATGTATGCTTAGGAAATTAAAGTGAGTTTAGATGCCAACCCTCCCAAACCCAAAACGTGACCAGGACAACGGCGCTATTGGAAAACCGAGTTTCAGCCACGAGGCACAACGTGAGCCGTCGAGAAACCAAAAGTAACGTCTCTAGTTTGGCTCTGGATGAGGAAGGTCTCTGGACACTTCTGGGCTTTCTCTCAATTTTCCCATCCCCCCAGATCAAGCATTTTGCGTGCACACCAATAATCAAACTCGTTCTCAAACGGAGGTTCATTTTTGCCTGCATTCACGCATTTCCAGAGCTTGTTTTCAGCCCGCTTCGACGTGTTTGGTGGTGAATTCTGTCCGTCGGAGAAGGGACACCAGCAGACCCAGCGAACCGCTGTCTCGCCAACACTGTGAGCTCTTTGTTTACCGCTGCTTACAAAAATAAGAGAGATAACAGGAGTGACCATACCCATCTACGTTAGGGCTGGAAAAAGTAACAAAATCTTTTGTTTCGTTATTTCCAGACTATCCTGGACATCACTGCTGGTGACATCATCACCACTGGAGAAATCTGCTCAGCAGATCCTACGCTACCTCAATCCACTTCTCCAGCTACATCATGTTCTTCAGTGGAACATCTTCCTGCAGGAGATACCCACCCCAGCACGTCCACAACCCATCAGGCGGGACAGAGAAGGCAGTCTCCTCTCTGATGTGGGTGCCAACTGCTAAGCATAAATTAATACCAGCTCTTAAATTTTTATTTCTTAGCCAATGTGCCATTAAAAACCAAAGCAAAGACTCACCATCGCCTCACAGCTCACGGGAAAGAAAATATATTCCAGTGGGCTATGGCAGCAACTCAAGAAAAAGGCGACACCTGATTTATGTTTCCGGCTCTCCGCCTTTGGGTGCTGCACATATTTCTCCAAGATATTTCCAATTACTGCCCCAAGTTTCTTGTTCCAGGCTCCACAGCTAAGAAACCCAGGGACTCGCAGTCAGTTAGGCTACTTTATATTGAAATACGTCTCATGAATTAGCTCTGCAAGAAACAGCCCTTTGAATTCAGTGCGGATTAAGCTCCTTTGGCTTCCCGTGTTCCTAGCAGTTCTGCCTGGGACAGACATCAATCTCTTATTTTTCTCTTTGCTTCTTGCAATAGCCATGATAGAAAGATTACATCAAAGGCAGGCATTCAGAGCATGTCCTAAAGGCTTCAAGTCTCTGGTAGAGCCGCCTTCTTTAGAAATTCCACTCCACCAACAAAATTTTTCCTGTTCTGTTCCCCGAGAAGTGCTGGTTCCTCACCGCAGGCAGCGAAGCTACTAGAGAAAAAACACAATTTAATTATAAAAGCAACTGCGCGTTGTTGATGACTTTTAACCGGAGCAATGTTTTCAGTAAGGCTCACAGGCTGAGCGCCGAGTTCTTCTCTTGATAATATCTGTAGTTTTTTTACTTGTAATAAAGATGAGTAGGAATTAATTATTTTAAAAGCTGCGTGCTCCTGCCCTTTGCAGAGAACAGCTCTGCCCATCCTGAAAACCTCAAGATAACCGTCCCTCAGCAGGCAGGAACGAGATCCGCCGCCTGCACACTCGCAGTAGGGTGAACGCGTCTCCTCTAACCCCACATTTTGGCAAATGCTCAGAACAGAAACAGTTAACAGTCACCGCAGCAATACACCGCACACGCAGGTACAACATCCTGCTTGCAGGATAAAAAACTGCAGTTCTCAGCGGCTTAATGCCCTGAAACCCACCGAATCTTCCCCATTTCGTAGGGGATTGTAAGCAAGACCGATGATGCTGATGGGCTGGCTATGGGTGAACTGGCTACGTTGAGACTGAGCCACTAAAATTGCTGTCCTCATTATGCAGGCTAACACAACTTAGGACGTTAGGAGTAGATAGAATATAGTGTAAAATAAAAAGGAAAACTAAGCATACTCCAATTTCTACAAAGTAGGAGGACTACAACACAGGTGCTCCTGTAGACAACCTCCGACCTCGGAAATCTGGCGGAGACCAAATGCCAGTGGAAAAGCAAGAGCAGAGGATCCCAAAAGAGTCAGCTCTGCTCAGCTCCAGTCTCCAGTGCTGCAAACACTGAAAAATTCATTTTCTTGAGCTGTAAAAAAGAACTGCTGGAGAATAAAGATGTTTAAGGGAAAGCCTCTGCAGTCTGAACATGTTTTCTGCTCTCTCTATACAGAGCTTGATGGAGCAAAAAATAAAAGTATTGTTTCTCTGACTGTTAGATAAAAGCACAGTCTATAAAGCACCTGAGGAAGAAGCAAATTGTTTCCTTCATCCCTGAAAAGTTGTCACCTCCATCGCAAAGCATGGGATACACCTGCAAGTCCCAGCAGCACCGCCCTGCCACGTCAGGGAGGAGGTGGACTGGCGTCTCGTCCCGAAACCCCCCCATTTCTAGGCAGGCCAGATTGTAACTATGAAAAGGAGACTCAGGAGCAAGCGCAGCAGCAATTAATTATTTTTAGAGGTCTTGGGTCTGAGTAGCCTCCTGGTCAAACAGATCAGCTCCCATTAAAGGGAACAAAGCGGTATGATTTGCGGCCAACCGACCTGCTCTGCACTAAGTACACCCTTCCGCTGAAAACCCCGAAGAAATAGTGTTAAAAGTCACAGAGCTCAGGCTTACCACCACGTGTCTGCGAAGTTTCCCTTATCCCACTTTCTATCGTATCTCCAGAGATCATAAAAAAAGACTCTTGGCCTTTAGTCCAAGGAAAAAAAATAATAATACAGCCCTGTCTCTTTGCTCCTGAAGTTCAGCATTTGTGTTTTCCAGCGTATGGCAGAGACATGCAGTTCCTCGCTCAGCCTAGACGGATGCCTGAATTAGCGGTCACCTTCAGATTACGTTATTTAAATCTCTCCTCCTCTCCCCAAGGAAGAATTGGAAAACTATTGCTCAAAAAAAGGTTGGCAGAGAAATGTAATACAGTTATACACCATGAAAGAAGGGGTAAAGCACAAAAAACCTGACTGGGAGAGTATTTTGCTTTCCTTGAAGTACTGAGCTTTTAATAGTGATCAGAGTTTCAAGTGATCTTTTACGTGACTTGAGAAATATTTGTTTCTCTGTTGCCAAAGCCAATGTATTGGCTAATGTGTGCTGTCTAGCCTGATGACACTGGAGCATTAAAATTAATCTTCTGCATAATTAAAAGCCAAAAATGCTGTAAGCAATTTTTTTTTTTTTTTTAATTTTAAACTACAGGACATTACAAAGCAAGCAATAATATGGCAAGCTGGAACCTGTCTGTGTAAAACCTTACTTACAGAGAGAGTCCCATTTCTCTACTTGGTAAGGAAATTAATTTGTGTTATGAAGTAGCTCAGATTGAAAGAACAACAAGCGCCAGAGCAGTGAAATGACCCGAGTAAAATAAAAACAGAAAAATATCAACAGAACCCCTGCCGCTATGGATGATATAGTGAAGGGATCTTTCTGATCTTCTCTAGATACTGGATTTTATTTAAGATTCAGCATATTGACCGACAATACAATTACACAAATATGGAACACGGCCAAGCACAGCTTTTCGTTTAATTCAATCCGTAGCAGCGTGTAGCCCTGGATGCTACTCATGCCGTTACACACCTACCGCTTGCTTAGGAAAGAATAAACTAAAAACAAACCCAACCCTATTTTAAATGTTACTTCAAGAAAAAAACCCAAAACCCAAACCAAAAACCAAGTCACAGCCCTACTGTTTCTCCTTTCTTGTCCAAACTTCACCAAATTCAAAGGGTGTATTTAGACGACCAACCTCAGCTCCAGGGCTCTGAAAGGACTGCAAAAGAGGGTGTAAAAGATGCGACACTAAATGCTTTAACACTGCTAGGCGTGCATAATAGGCACCATTATAGTCCCCCCAGCAGCTAAGTACAAGTAATTGATTATTTCACTTTTCCACAGTTTCATTTCCAGGAAGTCCTGAAAAAAGAAGCAGTTTTCTACAGAAAATACAGCAAATAAAAAGACAGCGGTCCGTATTAATCCACTAAACGCTAAACCAGTCATGTAACAGGACACTGAAATCAAAGGCAGATAAAAACACTTACAGAAATACCCTGGATTTTAAAAGGCAGCTACAGAAATTTCAATTTTTAGTAATCTGTACCAAATCCTTACACCTCCCAAACGAAAGCACCTTGTTTTCTGAAAATTTCAAGAATAGTGAAATGAGAACAGCCAAGCCAGAAGGGGAAATTTCGCTTACGTGTTACTTTTGCAGAGGAAAACCAGATGCATCGTTAATTAAGGCTGGGCAGATTGAGGTGCGACACGCTCGGTGCTTCAGTCGTTTGGAAGGGCTTTAATGGTCCATTTCATGTACCCACATCTGGTAACACCATGACACGTTTTTATAGTTGGAAAAAAAACCCCAAGCCCACTGGTTTCCAGAAAGCGCGGGCTCAGAAGGTTCACCCAGCGGGCTTCAAGGTCGGAACGTTAACCCGGTTTAGGCGCAGGCTGATAAATTCAGAGCAACGAGCCCTCAAACCGACCGGTCAGCTCGGAGAGAACAAGAGCAGTGTCCTTCCAACTCGCCCGTTAACAGCACTTGGGAGTGCTGCCCCGCATCACCCTGAAAGCAAAACGCTGGCAGCTTACATGAACCCAGCCAACCCCGGGACGCATATCCGAGTCGGCTGCCTCTTTTAAGAAGAATTATGAAGGATTTTTTGTCCCTGCAAACAAAGATGAGCATTTCACAATCACAGCGACGCTCATGCAGCAGGATCAGAATTTTTTTTTTGTAGCGCATAGATACGGACACAACATCTGATGGAGGAAGAATCCCAAAAACCCCTTTCCTTCATCCTCCAGTTTACTGCACGCAACCACAGTGCCAAACGCTTACCTGGGACAGGACTCTTGCTCGAGTTTAAACTCTGAGCCTCCGTGCTCTCCTCCACTTGCCCATCTGCTTCTGTCTCTTCCTTCTCTTCAGTATCTTTTTCCTCTTCGTTAAGAGTAGTTCTTGTGCTCTCCTCTCCTTCTAAATCTCCCTGAACAACAGGGAGGGCACTAGGAGACGGAAGAGGAGGTGGAGAAGGAGTTGTAGTGGTAACAGCAGCAGCAGCAACAGAAATTGGAGGAGAAGGAGGTGGAGGGGTGGGAGGTGGGGTGGGAGGAGGAGAGGGAGCAGCGTGAAGAGCACTGGAAGATGGCACGCTTTCCACTTCTGCTGGAGGTGCTTCTGGTGTCTCCAACTCAACAGTCAATGGCGCAACTTCCGTCTGGGCTACATCTACTACGCTCTCTGCAGCAGTTACTTTTTCACTCACCCCGTTCACTTCATTAATTAGATTAGTACTAGCAGTCACTGGAATATCACTAGATGCTACACTACTAGGCTCCTTGCACTCCTCGGCATCAGCCTCTTCCGCTGGCGAAGGGTCCGATGTGTCCGTGCAGGGTGCGGCATTAGATATAGGCATTGCCTCCTCTTTTGGGGAAGCGAGTTCACATTTCTCCTCTGAGTCAGCTGTGAATGTGGGTTTACTAGAAACGGCGACAACAGCAGCAGCAGTAGAAACAACTGCGACGGGAGCGGCCGGGGTCGGCGATGGAGCAAGGGGAAGTTCTGGTGGGGTTTCCACTGAGGTGGCCTCGGTCGTCTGGCCAGCTTGATCTTTTTTCTCCCCAGTGGGTTCTGGTCTGAGGACTGGAGAAGGTGGTTTTAATACTGGATCTGGTTTTGGCTTCTCTTCTGGGAAAGAAGAAGGAAAAAAAGAGCCAATGTTACCAACAACAAGTCAACTCCATTCTCCTTCGCTGTATCTAAGCCACCTTGGTTCCCTTTGCCTGCATTCTGCCCACTATTCAAGAAGCTCCGAGGAAGACACCACAGGCACCTGAAGCTAATCTTTGCATCTAAAGGAAAAGTCCAGACAGCCTGCTCCTGGCAGACCCGAAAATACAACCGCTGCTTCTATTTTTCTGAACGTAGGCTTTGCAGTAAATGCCTGTCCTTTACAGAAAAGGCATAGAAATATGTTACAAAATGTGGATTTGTTTTGCAGAAAGTGCTGCTGAAAATAGAATTTTTCTTTGCAGAAATTACGGAAGACACAAATACGCTTTACTTGGATTATTTCTCAAAGGAGCCGGGGGTTTTAACACCGAGACCTGGGTAAACTCATGTTCCAAAATGCAGGCACACAGAGACACTGGCAACCTGCTGGCGCTCTCTGCAACTTTCCTCCCCTTCCTAAAACGGGGAAACTACTCGACAACTGACGACGGGTTGTTCATTTACGGATGCCAGGTGTACTGAGACGTGAGATGCATCTAGTCAATTTTTCCACTTGTTATTTTTCAACTCCATCGCCCATCAGCACATCAGGCTGAAGGACACAATCCCTTTTTTTGTTCTAAATTTCAGCAAAGATACCTTTTCCCAAAGAAAGGAAAAACAGAGAGAGATTTAAGCACAGCTGCCACCAAAGAAGAGCATCATTACCTCTTGATGTTTGTGGTCTAAGGGTATCAAGCAGGGTGGGAAAAGCACGGCAAAACATGCACATGTATCAAACCAAACCCCAAAATATTGTGCACAGAGAAGTTCCTGTACTTAATCCTGTTTAGCAACAGACTTTGCAACACCGTCCCTGCCGCGACCATCACACAGCTCCCAAAGGTCTGCTGCAACTCCATTTAACACACTTACTCCCACTTCTTTTGAACAAAGTACGGAGCCAAGACCCTAAAAGACCCTCTCCCACCTCTGACTTGACGACAAGACGTTGACTGTAAGATCTTGCTTAGGAAAGCGTCTCCGTGCTACAACTCTGCAAGACGAGCGAGACAGGTATCGCTCACGTCAATCATACAGACGGCAGGGATGCGGCGGTCCAGCTCCTAATCACCGTTACGAGGAGGTCAGCTTTGTCTGTCCTCGGGGAGGGAGCTCTGCTCCGCGCCATGAACGCAAAACGCCCTGAAGCTTTCTGAGCACTGAAGCAACAGGGAACTCCGTCGGGACGCTGCTGCAACAGCAAAACAGCAATTCTGGAAAACCCAGAGGCACAAACCTCCCTGTTCCGACTAGGAAATCGAAGGCCACAACCAACCCCACATCGTCAAAATTCAGGCAGAACTGAACAGGTATGGCTTTGCTTGGGCTTTTCCAGCTCTGCTGGCTTCTCATTTGGAGCTTATTCAACAGATAGGCTGAAGAGAAAGGGTTTCTGAAGGAGAACCCATCCGAAACTGCTTGGACCATCACGTCCCATCTTCAGGAACAGCTGGAGCAACGAAGAACTTTGCTTCCAGCCGCCGACAGCCTCAGCAGTGTTACAGCGAGGACCACGGCCAAAGCAGTAGTTTATCAACTTAATGAGGCACGTAGGGAGACGGCTTTGGAGGAGGATTGACAACTGAGGAAAAAGATGGGAGAAAGTATCCCAACAGCTGATTTTGATTCTGAAGGCTCTGTGGAAGAAAAAGGACCTGGGAACTAGTTTAGAAAAGAAAATGCGTCACCTCCGATTTCTGGAACATCCTTTGCAGACAACTCATGGAGCATTCTTGACATTTACAGCTCACTATAAACAACTGCCTGGATATTCTCTCCCTTGAGTCAAATGAGATCGCTCAAAAGAAAAAAAAGCAGCGCATTTGAAGTGTCTAGAAAAACATGCCGAGAGATAAAAAGCACAGCAAAAATATACAGCTGCATTTTCAAACCAGTGGTTTCAACCCACTTTCTTCAAACTACACCTTATTTGGCCAATATATTAGTGACTGATACAGGCCACGTGTGCAAAATTCAAGGAGAAAAGTAATTTGGGGAGGGGAGATTTCCAAAGAACCATGAGCAGATTTGGCTAATGAGAAGTAAATCTTAACTTGAACGACCATCACGCAGAACAAATCTCAAAGTCCTGGCAAAAGAACATTCATCCCTGCCAACTATTACAGGAATAGTCACGTGAAACAACATACAGTTGGGACGGGAAAACAAAAATCAACGCAATTCATCCGAACTGAATCAGATCCCTTTTCCTAAACATGCCAAGATCATTCCTCACATTATATTTAGAAAGTATTTACCGGAAGCACTAGGCTGTTCAGGAGGAAAGCTTTTCTTAAAATCTCCAAATAAACACAAATCTTGCAAAATTACTCGTCATTAGAAATACTTTTACAAACTCAGCAGGACAGATACTCGCTATCTCCTCCACGCAAAGACATTAAAGCCAGAGAGGGAGCTGGGCTGCCGGGTGGTCGCGGCGGCAAAGGCTGCCCGGAGCAGTGGCTGGGGAAGATTTTACTGGATATGGGAATTTGTTTCTGCTTCGCGGTGTTTATCTGAAAATAATCGCTGGGCTTGCTGCCATTTTTCCATCTTTTGTCCCGATGCAAACACTGGCGAGGCGGTACCGAGGCTGGCTTCGCAGGCGGTTTTTGCAGCACACGTTACTGAGTCACAGCGTCAGCAGAGGGGCTCGAAGCTTTCCCAACTTCGGGATCTGACATCAACCTATTTTCCACAAACCACGTTATGCGTTCTCCATGTCTGATACATCGCGGGATTTGGAAGAGGTTTAAAAAAAAAATAATAATAACTACTCCAAACCTCCCACGGAACCTGTGCAAGCCGAGTAAACGTGGACAGCGCTGGTTTCATCCACAATTACACCCCGATACAACTTCTGCACCAGCCTGGCCTGCGGCCAGGCTCCTGCACGCTCTGCCATCAGCTTGACCTAAATTCTCCGGCAATATCCTCGCTTGCTGCAGCCCTGCTGATATATATGCACCAGGGGCACCTATAGGAACGACAGCTAACCGCTTGCCCCCAAATAACGCCACTTTTTGAGGTATTATAGTAGCAATTCCTATACCAGCCTCCAGGTCATGCAGGAATTTTGAAGCCTGATAAGCCAGAAGCTGCTTTAAAAGCAGCAAATGCCAAATGCTTGTCTTTTAAAAGAAAAACCAAGGATATTAAACGCAACACAAATTCAGCCTCGCTAATGACTTCTACGCAAAAATAACTGGGACTGCAGATACTCGCAGTGTGAAACAACAGAGGCCGGGTCTGCCGGCACGGCACACAAGCTCTGCTCCCGATCCCCAACCCAAACGGGCCAAATGCTGCGCGCAGTTATAAATAACTGCGAAACGATCACCGAATATCACAAAATTAGAATGACAGCTCCATACCAAATTTCAACCTCCCCAACCCAAACGGGCCAAATGCTGCGCGCGGTTATAAATAACTGCGAAACGATCACCAAATATCACAAAATTAGAATGACAGCTTCATACCAAATTTCAACTGATCGGCACAATCCGATCCACAGGATGAACACGGCAGAGGGGGTCTTAAGGGAAGCAATAATACTGGTTTTAATAAATGCTTGCTTAAGCAAGCCACGCAACCCTATCTATGCCTATTTTTATTTTGGAACAAAAACACCACCAACGTCAGGCACAAAGTGAAAAATTATTTTGATACCTCGGCATGTATTTCTGGCAAGATGTGCCCCCCCAGTCACTAGTTTGGTTTAAAGAAATAATTTTAATGGTGTCTAAACTTCCTTCACCTTTAACTCGCTCTGTCCTGCGACTGACACCACCGCTGCTCTCCCCCGCCCCGAGGCCACAGCT